TGGTACCTACCCGTGCGGGTCGACGTCGCCCAAAACACGTCATTACGCTCGACGAGTAAATTAACCCAGCCCACTGAGTTTCTCGCCGGATCTTCTCAGTGGGTCGCGTTTCCGATCCGATGGTAAATTCTGCGAAGCACTGCTGTTGCTAGGGCTAGTATTAGCAACACTCCAGTTTGAGCCCCCTAAATGTTAGGGCGAAACTGAAATAGCCTCTCAAGGCTAACAGCATAGGAAGGAGAAAAAAACCCGTGCGGACTCACAAGAGGTCCTACCACCAGTAACAAAAAAAAATCATAATCGTTTTTAATTTATAATCATTTTTTAATTTATAATCGTTTCGTCAGACCGCGAACGTATCTGCTTAATAATAGTGTAAAATATCTCTAAACTTTAAACAAATATGCGTTAGCTCCAAACTATACATTCTTGAAAATATTTAGTAAATAAAGATAAACTATGAAACCATGCTCGTAAACTAGCTAAAGCTTACTCAGTTCTTACGAAGTGCCCATAAAATACTTTACAATATAGCAAGCAGCATGACTCTTTACTTAAAGTAACTAACCAGCATGATCGATGGCAATATAACGTCGTAAAAATTTCAAGATTTCGTTCAACGCATTTAAGGCCGGAACTTGTCCTATAAAAAAAGAATTAAAACATATTAAAGTCATCTGTAATGGAACCCACCTGTTGCTAATGTTTATTTACAATACGAAATTCTTGCCCGTTCAGATTAGGTTAATGTTGCCGTGCTCGCGTTATACTAGTGTTTACATAGCATTGTACGTGCGTGTTTTGTGGTAGTTTTTTTTTTTTTGCGATCTATAATCCGGCACCGTGTCTGACCTATTTGTAGAAATAAAAATGCTATGAGCATCATTTATCATAGGGTGTTTTATGTAATCCATTTTCTTACATTATTGAAATGTCAGTCATGCGAAGGCTTCAAATTTTCGATCTAAGAATGATTCTAAAGTCGTCGTGGCCTAACGGATAAGACGTCCTTCGTGTTGAGCGATGCACCGGTGTTCGAATCTCAGGCGGGTACCAATTTTTCTAATAAAATACGTACTCAACAAATGTTCTCGACTGACTTCCACAGTGAAGGAATAACATAGTGTAATAAAAATGAAACCCACAAAATTATAATATGCGTAATTACTGGCGGTAGGACCTCTTGTGAGTCCGTGCGGGTGGGTACCACCACCCTGCCTATTTCTGCCGTGAAGCAGTGATGCGCTTCTGTTTGAATGGTGGGGCAGCCGTTGTAACTATACTTGAGACCTTAGAACTTATATCTCAAGGTGGGTGGCGCATTTACGTTGTAGATGTCTATGGGCTCCAGTAACCACTTAACACCAAGTAGGCTGTAAGCTCGTCCACCCATCTAAGCAATAAAAATAAAAACTCTTCGAACTCGTCCATTCCGACGTGCGAAATAGCCTTTTTTCCCACTACGTAATCGTTGGTGGATTAGGGCCGATTCACGGACTGGTAGGCGAGGTGAGACTCAACTTCGCCTACATAGACACAACTCACCGTGCTTCTCGCTGGGTATTCTCAATGAGAGCTTACCTACCAGCTGGAATAGCCCCTTTAGACTAAAGGCGATTAAATAGGGAAATAAATGGATTAAGCAATACTAACTTTTTACACATATAAAACAAATTCCAAGTAACATTGGTGTACAACCAAGTAACACCCCAAACATTTATTTTTTATTTTAATTTTTTGGATATATTTTTTTTTGTTTATAATGAGGTATTATGTGGTTAAATGAGGTTTTTTTTTCTACAGTAGAATTTCCCTAGAAATCTTATTTAAGGCAACACAACGTTTGCCGGGTCAACTAGTAAATTTATATATTTAGGTTTTCCACTCAGTTTTTTTGTGCACATTTTGTGGCACTAATAATACTAGTTAGTACTTTTCAATATTACCACTAAACACGAAAAGGAAATAAATCGATTAAGCAATACTAACTATTTACACATATAAAACAAAATCCAAGTAACATTGGTGGCAACACAGACAAGCATTCGCCCAATGATCACGAAATTCAACTATTTTATCCCAAGTGTTAAATATCTACTTAGCAGTGTCTAATGTTTTTTGTTTGCATCATTTTCCGTTTCCGGTATAATCTGTGTGCACTCTGTCAATTCAAGAATAAAGTTATGTTCACTCTGCTAAATGTGTATTAATAAAAAGGAATCCAGTAACATACAAAATACAGCAACCTCCTGTGATAAATAAATTATCAAAACCAAGATTTAAAATAAATTTATATAATTAGATTTTCCGCTTAGTTTTTTGTGCACATTTTGTGGCACTAATAATACTAGTTAGTACTTTTCAATATTACCACTAAACACGAAAAGGAAATCGGTTGACAATAACAGAGGCAAATGGAACCTACGTATTATATTTTCTTCTTTTCTCGCCTATCTAACATTATCAAGGTTTCTTACTTCGAAACCTCAAAACTTTAAATTTATTATGAACTAGCTTTTGTCCGCGACTCCGTCCGCGTGGAATAGTTACTTTGGCATAACGCTAAATTTTACCGCCACTTCATTTTCGTAGAGAGTGAAATTATAGAATGTTAAGGAGCTATTTGAACTCCTATTTTGAAACATTATTTATTGGTGCTCCACTTGTATTGGCCTTACCGTGATGTTATATAGCCTATAGACTTCCTCAATAAATGGGCTATCTAACACTGAAAGATTTTTTCCAATCGGACCAGTAGTTACTGAGATTAGCGCGAAAAATCCCAAACAGCTAAAACTATAGTCAATTGGATTGGATATTGACGTGACCGTCGGTAATAAAGTGCAACGGTATTACAGTACTGAGGATTGGAACTTCATTACTGAACCGGTAGATGGCATTGAAGAAGCTAGATATTGAGATTTTTTGACAAACAATTTTTTTAACTTTTCGTAAATAATATTTTTTTTTTTTAATAAAAAGTATCCTATGTCACTTCTAATACCTCCAAGAATATGTGTACAAAGTTTCATGATGATCGGTTGAGTAGTTTTCGCGTGAAAGCGTTACAAACAAACTTACATTCACATTTAGATATTAGTAGGGATAATAGTTGGAAATGACGCTTTCCATCTGGCCAGCGTAAACGTCATGAATCAAAAGATGACATTTGATAACAGTATTGTTTTATTTTCTTTGGTTTTTGTCTAGTAGAACCGAATACTTTACAAAGATCGTGGTGTCGGGCGGTACTGTGTAAAGAGTATTTGAAACGTCGGATATAATACATATAATGCTCCGGCTTGAGCCCCGTGAGCTCACCTACATGTTAGGGCGAAGCTGAAATAGCCTCTCAAGGCTATCAGCATAGGTAGGGAAAAAAAAACATAATAGATTGGGGAAAAAGTCTTTTCACATTATAGTATGTATGAACTTGTAATAAAATCTCTTTGATATCATTAAAATTTTAAATTTTAAAGAAGATACTTCCAAATTCAAATTAGGAAAATGTGTGATTTTTATTTATTTTTCGTACTGTCAAGATGAGTGAATCTAATGAAGAAATTCGATACATTTTAAAATTTTACTACAAAAAAGGTAAAAATTTAACGCAAGCCGCGAAAAAAATTTGCGATGTATTAGGTATAATGACTATAAAATAATCCGAGATTAAACTGTAAAAGTAGTTTTAAGCCGTAACCTTTTTCCGAAGTCGTATAAAATGACACCTTTGCCAAAACGTAACGCTACGATTTATGACCAATAACCATACTATAAAATAAGATATGGTACTGCGAAAGTGTTTTTAAGGTTGCCGTAATTTAGCTAAAAGCCACAGAGTAACAGGGCAGGGCAGGGCATAGTAATAAAAAATACCTATTTTGAAAAAAGACTTGTTCTTAACAGTCCTAAACAGCTGTAGAAAGAATTTGTAGCAAACAAGTAATTTTTCATTCGAAATTCGTTTTTCTGTACACACCTAAATATATTAATATGATAAATGCGACGTAAACCTTATTTAAGATCACTTTGCTCCAGGTGAAAATGTGTTTGACGAAATTTATATGCTTCTTGGATATTATTAAAAGCGTTGCGCGGCCGCCGATATAAACCGACCACAACGATTTACGATTAAACACACACAGACATACACATACAAACACATTTACAACTTCATAGAATAACAGTTTTTTTTTTCAATAATATGCAGATTTGCATATGTGGGTGACTAACATGTATTTATTTATTTTATAATATTTTATTATAACTACTTACACTACACAACAACACATACATACTTTATTTTATATCAACACATTCATTTATCACACAATCATACAAAACATTATTAACAATAGACACAATTAAATTCAAAAGCAAAGTCAGGCGATAACTGCAGTATAGGGGCGGCGATAATATTTCGCGAGTACATCGGTGCATAGACGAACCGGTCGTCGCATTTTTACATGTAAAAAGGTTGCTTTGCTTGTGAATTTAATTTTGTTTAGTGTTAATTAAATAATGTTTTGTATGATTGTGTGATAAATGAAGGTGTTGATATAAAATAAAGTATGTATGTGTTGTTGTGTAGTGTAATTATAATAAAATATTATAAAATAAATATGTAAATACATGTGAGTCACCCACACATACGATTGAAGTACTTTGGAAACATTCGAAAAGTATAGGTACCACTACCCTGTCTATTTATATTTAGAAAAAAAAATCATTGGTTCCGGTTTCAAGAGTGGGATACTCGTTATATTACCAAATGACACTCATACCTCATGTTTCAAGGTGGGTGGTGGTAACACTATGTGATGTCCACGGGCTCCGGTATCCATTTAACACCAGGCGGGCTTGGAGTTAATAAGATCGTCTAAGCAATAAAAAAAACACTCCATTCTTCATTACATTTTAAAGTACTTATGGACAACTTTCATAAACTCTGTGGTAAATAATTTTTTACTGATTCAATTTTTTTTTCTTTTTTTTTTCAGAAACGAAGACATGGAGTACATGCCCAAACGACCAACGGGAACATATAAAAACATAATACAAACAAAGAAACATAAATTCAAATTGAAAACGTATTTTGATCAACAAACGAATGTTAGTACAAAATAAAAACGTATTTAGAAGAAAATGTCCTAGAATTATTAGCAATTAAAGAGAAAAAAGTTTTGAATAAAAAACATAAAGGAATTGATGGTATTCGACGAAGATGGATGAATAGTTGCTGTGATGGGGTGCGGTCAAAGTAAAATCAATCTTTACCCAAGGAAAAATAAGAATAGCAAAGGAAATAGTGCGAAAAAATCAGGTAAGTTTTATTCCTAGAGAGAAAGAGAGAGAAAGAAAGACAATACACTTTATTGCACACCAAAACGCAATTTACATTCAAAAAACAGTCAAAAAGCAGATACATTTGTACAACAGGCGGTCTTGTCGCTCAAAGCGATCTCTTCCAGACAACCGTGTAATTTACAGAAATTCTGGAAAATATAAAAATATACCAGGTATATTTTTTTAAGGGATTTTATGACCTGGTAACTAAGACCTTTAGGTCAAATCTTATTTTAATTTTAATGATAACTTTTCTATATGAAATATGATATTATGAGATAAAATGAAGTTTATTAATATGAAACATGACATGAAATGAAATGAAATGAGATGAAATGAAATATAATCTCAGTAAAATGGTGGTTATTTACTGAGACTTTAGTGGACTTTTCGGAGGATCCCGAGAAGTTACGTTCAGCATCTTTGTTTTATTTTTCCACATTTGTGCACTTTCACAGATACTAAACAGTTAATAAACTACCGTTATTACGCATTTAATCCTGAAGAAACACTAAATAGACAAAATAAAACAAATATCACAACTTCACACCTCGCGTTCCCGCCAAAAAGTCTATATAGCAGGTATGTTGCGGTGTATTATAGACAATACATTATTATAGAAAATATATACATACTCGTACAATCGGTATATAACTAATTGATTTATATACCAATATACATACGCTTACATACAATACATACTAATATACTTACATACACATAATAAATCAACAGTATGGAAATGATAAATGACACAAACAAACAACACTAAACAGATAAGTAGTGTTCCATTCCTTCACTGATTCCTACTGTTATTTGACAGGTTTTTACCATATTAATCACAATTCATGAGCTCACACTATTTCGGCTCTGTTGCAAGATCCCATGATCACGGCATAAACATTTAAAAATCGAGGTAAATGTAAACAACGATTCCCTTAAAATCAAAGGCATCAAAGTATCAAATCTTTATATATCAATCGGAACATTCTCCAAATCGTAAATACTGCGCTACAGAAATACATATGTGTGGTAATTCTGTTTTGCGATTTTGAACCTAAAAACGTAATCCCATTTAACTTTACGATTAAGCGGTAGTTGCCAATGTACCTACATTTACGAAGGAAAGACGTGTTTCACTAACTGATCCGCCGGCATAAGCCAAACTGAACCTTACGACCTCACCAAGGTGGTCGAAGCTCAACAAATGATTATCATTAAAATAAATAACAACAACACAACGAGTATATCATCAAACTATACAAATAACCCTCAACTTTGGATTTCCAGACTCGTTTGTATCCAATAGCACAAAATATTCCATATATTTTAGAAGAAAAAAAATAGTCAATAGAAAATGATGAATTCAAATAATGTTCGCCGGGGAGATGGTGCGATTGATTCAAAAGCGGGACTTACGAGGAATATGACGCACAATTTTACACAAATGTACATATCTCTAAATATAATACCCTTGAAATAGGGTGGCAATAATCCTTTTTTTATATATATATTTGTCGGAGAAGCCACAATTATTAACACCATCGTCAGACATCACAGGGGCGAATAAGGTGATCGATCTAAGAGAAATATTGAGTTCACCAACACGTTTGTTGTCTTAGAACAATTTAGAAATCTTCTCTTGACGTTAGCAAACGAAAACGAAGGATAGTTCTTAGGATGGAAGCACCGCTCTTCAAGAAGGCTGGTTAGTAAGTGTGGATGGCGTCCATGCGCTTTGATTATCTAGGGTGTGTCGTAGCACGAAGTTAGTAGAGTTCCGACGATACCGCAATCGTGCTGCCATCTCTCGGGAATCGTGCTACGTTTCGTTTAGCTACCAAACTAATGACCGTTTCCGTCTTATTGATATTTTCATCATAGACGGTTTGAAAGATGGGTTTTTTCTTCATAAATATAAAAAAAAAACATGTTGTTGAAGACATTATCCGGAAACAGTCGCTCATTGATTTTTATAACGACAGGAGCGCAAACAAATTGTTTCTTTGAAGAAAAAATTTAATTTTACGCTTAATTATTAGTGGTGGGTTGTCAGCGCATCGGAAGATTTGTGCTCTTACTGCCTATTTTCTATTCAGAATCACTCAAATATGCCAATTTGAAGAGTAGGGTAGCTGTAATAAAACACAATTAAGCAATGGACGTTGTCTTAAGCTTTTCTTCTATATTATCTTCGATAGCTTCTTAAGCATAGGTCTAACAATCTGTTGTATTAAAGAAAAGTGAATTAAGACTTTATCAAAGATATTTTTGGCCGACGTTCCAACACGTTTACTCATATACCCGAAAGCCGCATTTAAACAAGTATTTCCAGAGCATTCCGATCTAAAATAGTGTTAACCATTCATGATTTTTGCAAACAGAATACAACTAATATAGAGTGTGTATGTGTTTGTTTAGTATTACTTTACTCTAACAAACTAGTAAGAGGTTCAGCTCGGGTGCATACATTGGGTACTTGACTCCAAAATATCGATTTCTTTCTTCTTAAATGTTTGGACGAGCTCAAGGGCTTTTTAGTACAACGGCAGCCCAACTTTCAAAACCTTATATGCTTAGGCTTCACGGCAGAAATAGGCAGGGGGTGGTATCTACCTGAACGGGCCCACTAGAACCCCTAACACCAGTGACGTTGACAAATCGCACATGCTTTTTTAACGACAGCATTAGAATAACTATTAGGGTAAACACAAAATATGTGCTGAACCACAAACTCATTTAAATGCTACTAATAAACATTGAAGACATACTTTAGCTGTCAATGCCTTGACCCTTTGATTTCGTTACGTCTTCTTTACCGCTTGGCTTCCAGATTCATTGCCGGTATTGAAAACAAATTTTTAGTTCTATTTTAAGACAACTATTCATAAATATCAACTTCATAATCTTCAAATTGATTTGATACCGAATCTATATCCGGTTCAACCTTGTTTACGTAAAATCGGGGATTCCGAAATAGATGTATGTTTTTTCTGAAGAATCTCTCTTGGTTTCTAACACTAACAAAATCATTTAATGAGGTTTATGAGATTTCGTTCAATGATGTTTGAATGACTGTTTCGCCACAAATAATCTAATAGAGTTTTATTCCATTATGAAGATGCTTTATTCAGTAATTGCTGTATTCCATACGTTTTCATCAGCTGTCCTGGTCACTGATATCTATGATGCTTCTTAGGTCTATCTAATTCTTTCAGACTAAGCCCTGTGATCTTGCCCATCAGTCATGATGAAGCATTCAAGGCTACCAGCATATAGGTAGGCAAAAAGTGTTATCATACCACTTCATCGATTATGATCGACTGTAAGATGAGAGAACGTTCTAGTATAGTGTATAAGTGTGATAGTGGACTCAATCCTAGTCGATCTTATTATTACCAAAAAACGTTTACCCATGGGTCATAATATTTTCATAAAATCATGTTATCTCATTCGTGCGAAAATTAATTGTTCTATAATTATGTTGTTTTTAACGTCAGCGTTCGAGGAGATGCTGCAGTCTTTCATCTGGACTTTTACCTCGCTTTAGATTAACTCAGTCTGTCCAGCTGTTCTAATATCCCCTGCTTCCAATTATCGCTAGATTAGAGTACAATATAAAATATTACACGATACATTTATACCAATTTTGCGTCTTTTAAGCGTTTACGGTACAATTAGCCCTTTATTTGTCAGTAAATAAAAATGGAATACACTGTATTTGAAGATAATATCACGTAAAATTGTAGTCACCCTGGAAAGGGACGCCAAAGGCATCCGACGACGTGATGTAAATATTCATAAGACTGCGTACACCTGAGACTAACACCCCAACCCTCCCTCCTAAAATACAATTATAAGCCTTAATGCTTTACCCATTAAAATTATTTGTTATTAACCAAAGCAGACCTGAAAACGTATCGTAACAATTAATTTAGAACTTATATCTCAAGGTGGGTGGCGCATTTAAGTTGTAGATGTCTATGGGCTCCAGTAACCACTTAAAACCAGGTGGGCTGTGAGCTCGTCCACCCATCTATGCAACAAAATAATAATAATACTTATGCACTTTAAGTCAGGTGGGCTTTGAGCTCGTTCACCCATCTAAGTATAAGTATAAGTATAATCTAAAGCATTTAGTATAATGTCATCATAATTATAATGTTATTTAGAATATCACCAGGTAATTTCAATTTCAAATTAGTAAGAACGTTATTTATTGAACCTCGATAATTATTTTTCCCAAAAATTACATTTTACTTGATCTTGGATATCACGCCTAGATTCCTCATTATACCTTTCACCATCTTTATAATTTAATTAATCGACATTTAGTTTCTTTTTTATTGTTTTTTCTGTCAAAATCAATAAGGCATTGCATATAGGGTTTAGTTTTGTTCGTGTTTGCTCAACGCTGAAGGTTGTGACATCTGCGGAGTTTTTAATATTTTTCGATTGCTTGGCTGGGGGTATAAGATGATATCCCGTGACAAGGAATAGCGTTGTTGTCGCTACCAGTAAAGCTAAAATATCAATTCACACGAATTGTATACGAGCTGTTCCATCTTTCAAACCGAAAAATAAGACTGCGTGGCGGTAGAAATATGAAGGAAGGGAGGAAGGAAAGGAAAAGGAAGGAAGGTGGTACTTACCCGTGCGACCTCATAATACCATGTGCTGCTGTGGTGCTATAGGAGTTTTAAAACGCGGCAATCTTGGATCTTTTCGTATTATCATTGTGCTAAATGGCCCAAACCCACAACCCACTGAGTTTCCCGCCGGATCTTCTCAGTGGATCGCGTTTCCGATCCGGTGGTAGACTCGGCGAAAAACTGCTCTTGCTAGCGCCAGGGTAGTACCACTCCGAATTGAGCCCCGTGAGCTCACCTACATGTTAGGGCGAAGCTGAAATAGCCTCTCAAAGCTATTAGCATAGGCAGGAAAAAAAATGGCCCAAGCGCCAAAAATTCTTGTACC